GCTTGGCTTTATGGAGCCTGTTATGCCCTGTCTGGCTGCTAAAGAGAAGTCTACTGTTAGCTGTGTAGGACAGGTCTACACTTTAGATTTTTACTGGCACAGCTACATGTGTTGGGTGGACATCAGGGGATTACATCCCAGATAAGGCTGGCAGTGCTGTCAAAAGTCCTGCTGTTAGTATAGTTCATTGTGTTTGAGCAGCTAGTTTAAACATAGGTCCTTTTGTGATACAAACTGTGTATCTATCTGGAAGGCTTGCTTTGTATCTTAGCATTTTCTCAGTTGCACATAAGGATGGTTCTGTGGTGTTAGACAGGAGCTTATAAGCATATTCTCAAATTCTCTATTATGAATCATTGTAGCCCACCAAACAAAAACCACAATTGTAATAATCTTATTTCTATGCAAAAGCATCCCAGAAGAAAGGCTTGAAGTGATGCCAAGAAATAACAGACTAGACCAAAGCATTAATAACAGAAGTAACTCTGCACTAATACCATTGTGCATAGATAAATCACTTCATAACTTTATCCAGGTTAAAAAATCAATCCCAGAAAAACTATTGTTTTAAAATAAAAACAGAGGAACAAAGCTGGTTTCTCCACACTAAAATTTCTTTCATTCTTATTTTCATCAGTATATTTCCAGCTGGTTCTATTAAGGAAGCTGGTCAAAAAAAAGGACCATTTTTATATGTGGAAAATGAATTTATTTCAGTCTGTTTGTTCTGTGAAGCTTGACTAATTTATTTACGTTGTCATTTATCTTCAGAGTTCCCTGAAGTGACTGAGCTAATATTCTCTGAGTCTCTAACATGTTTTTGTTTTTAGACCCACTATTTTGTGGATCAAATCTTGGTTGTTCAGCTATTTAACCATCTGTTATCCTCCCAAATTAGATCCTTAAGATGTCTAGGTGCAATCTCAGAAACGATAATGAGCATTTAAAATTCTGCTCCACAAAATCGTATTCCTTGCAGTCATATGATGTTATTAGCAGAGGAAGTCGGGATAGAAGTCCAAGCAATCTTTTGGTTTATTGCAATATCATTTATAATGATGCACAGATGTCCATGTACAATCTGCCCATCTGTCAAAGTTTACATTTACACAGCCAGAGAGACTTCAGTGCAGTTCCCTCTTACTCCCAGTCAGTCATTATGTGTTGGTGTCTGTTTATTTTATTACTTTGTTGATACTGAGAAATATTTTTTTAAAAAAACATGATCTGAATAATTTCTGTAGGAGATTTTCAGGCTTCTTTTTTATCTTCTTAAAATTTCTGTAGTTGTCTTCTATTTCTCCCTTGCTGTCTCAAAATAATAGAGCAGACATACAGCAGGAAAGAGTACCTTAGGTATTGTCCAGGAGAAGGGCAGAAGTGACTAACTGCTTCAGTAGGCTGTTTTGCTTTGGTTTTCATGCAATTGGAAGCATCTGTATCATCTTGTTTAAATTCCATAAATTCTTTTGCTTAGATTTTTCCTTCTACTCTTTTCTTTTCCCTACCTTCAAATAAATATTATACATGGAAGTTTTCCAGAGTCTTCCTTCTCAAGATGATTTTGTCATGTTCTCTTTACAGCTTTAGGACCTCAGTGGCTGCTTTCCATGTTGTTAGTGCACATGGGTCAGGATCTGTAACAAGGGACCTGCTTTGGCCAAAAGCCCTTCAGTGTTACAAAATTATTTCTGGTGACTCACTGACAAGAATTGGTTTGAACCCTGCTGGCAGTATCCTGCAGCAGCAGGGCTCAGATCAAATAGCCTCCTTCAGCATTCAAGATGCTGGTCAAGAATTAAGATTTATCCAGAAGACAAAATCAAAGCAGAGTCAAACTTAGGTTGCTTGTATTTTTGACAATGAAGAAATGCTTCCAAAAATCTAATTTGACCATAGAAGTAGAGGAGATACCAGAGGCCAGCATCTGGGTAGGGTAGTCTGCACCAGGAGCAGCTGGTTCCATGAATGGGCAGCAGCACAGCTGTGACAGCCCAGTGACAGGGGCTCAGGGTCAATAAGGGCTGGTGAAGTCCTCAGGGATCTGGCAGGGAATATCTTCTGAGGAAGCCACTTGTCAGTCTTATGTATTTATGTATTGTAATGGATTCTTGGAATGGTAGCCACTTAAGGACCCAATCTAAAGGTTACTGGACTTCACTAGTTTGGCTCCGTGGGCAGAGCAGGGGAAATAGAGGTGGTCAGATGAGATAACACTCCAAGATCAGTTCAAATGAAAAGAGATAAAACGCTGTTCTAATAAAATTAACAGGAAAGCCTTATGCTGTTATCTGATTTTCCTTTCCAAACAGGTTTGTCATAATGTTTTTAAAGGGACACTTTTGCTTTAGACGCTTTCACTTTGCATTCCAGGCTCGTTTTATCTTTTCCATCAGACACCAGCTACAATTAAGCTCATGGACTTACATGAAAATCCTTATGGGAATCAAAACGTTTCTATTTTATGTTCCTGCACTGATTTTTACCTGAGATCACAAAGTGGTTTTTCACTGATAATTAATCTTCCCAGAAGTTCTTTGACACAGGTGAGAGCTATTAGTCAGGAACAGTGATTAAGTGAAGAACACCATGAAGACAGACAGCACCTCTCAAGAAGAAAGCTGAACCCAGAGCACTGTTGCTCTGGAGAATCTCTGAAGGCCTCTCTCTGATCCTCAGTTTCCCTGCTTGAACAACAAGACCTTTCTCACCAAGAAAAATGCTTCAACAAAGAAATAATTATTAAGCATTTTAGACAGGGTAATAAACAGATGCAGTTCAAGAGGCTTACTTGATAGAGCACTGTACTGAGGCAGCCATGGCATGGCATGACTTTCTGTGGGTTTGGGAAGGCTGATCTTAGAATTATCATAGAATGTGTTGGGTTGGAAGGGACCTAACAGATCATCTAGTTCTAAGCACTTGCCATGGGCAGGGACACATTCCACTAGATCAGGTTGCTCAAAGCCCCATCCAATCTGTCCTTGAACACTTCCAGGAATGGGACATCCACAGCTTCCCTGGGCAACTTGTTCCAGTGTCTCACAGGAAAGAATTTGTTCCCAATGTCTAACCTAAACCTACCTTATTCCAGTTTGAAACTATTACCTCTTGTCCTCTCAATACAAGCCCTTGTAAAAAGTCCCTCCCCAGCTTTCCTGTAGGCCCCTTCAGATACTGAAAGGCCACTATGGGGTCTCCTCAGAGACTTCTCTTCTCCAGGCTGAGCAACCCGAACTCTCACAGCCTTTCTCCGTAGGAGAGGTGCTCCAGTGCCCTGATTTTCCAGATCTTTCTGGCCCTCCTCTGGACTTGCTCCAACACCTCCATGACTTACTTGTGTTGGGGGCTCCAGAATTGGACACAGTAGTCTAGATGCAGTCCCATGAGAGTGGAGTAGAGTGGAAGAATCTGCCTTGACCCACTGGCCATGTTTCTTTTGATGCAGTCCAGGACATGGTTGGCTTTCTGGGCTGCAAATGCATCTTGCTGGCTCATATTGAGCTTCTCATCAACCAACACCCCTAAGTCCTTGTCCTCAGGACTGTTCTCAATCCATTGTCTGCCCAACCTCTATTTATGCTTGGGGCTGCCCCAACCCAGGTGCAGGACCTTGCACTTGTCCTTATTAAACTTCCTAATGGGCCCACCTCTCAAGCCTATCAAGGTCCCTCTGGATGGTATCACTTCTCTCCAGTGTGTCAACCATACCAGCTTGGTGTTGTCAGCAAATTTGCTGAGAGTGCACTCAATTCCATTGTCCATGTCACCAACAAAGATGTTAAACAACACTAGTCCCAGTACTGACTCTGGAGGAAATCCACTCGTCACTGGTCAATATTTGGACATTGAGCTGTTGCCAACAACTCTCTGAGTGTGGTCATCCAGCCAAGTTCTTATCCACCAAGCAGTTACTCCATCTGCATCTTTTCAATGTAGAGACCAGGATGTCATGCAGGACAGTGTCAAATGCTTTGCACAAGTCCAGGTAGATGATGTCCTTTATTCTTCCCTTTTCCACTGATGATGTAACCCCATTGTAAAAGGACACCAAAATTGGCAGGCACGATTTGCTCTTGTTGAAGCCATGCTGCTTGACACCAATCTCCTGCACATTTTCCATGTGCTTCAGAAGAGCCTTCAGGAGGATCTGCTCCATATTCTTGGTGACCACAGAGGTGAGACTGACACACCTGCTGTTTCCGGGGTCATGTTTTCCCTTTTCCAGTCAGTGAGAACTTCACACTGGTGAAGTTGCCACTCTCATTGGTGTACAAATAGAAGGGTGGTGAAGTTTCAGTCTGGACAAAAACTAATGGATATATACTCTGCAAAGAGGTGATTCTTGAAGGCTGTGTATTAGAAGGCGGCAGATTGTGGAGAGTGGAAAGTAAAATTCACATGAATAACTGTGTTTGCTTCAAAGTCATATGCTTCAGTTTAATATATTTTCAATGTTTTACAGTTTTATTTACCTGCTAACTTCAAAGGTCAGGATGCTATTTGCCCTGCAGTGACATTTAATGATGTCTTTGTCACCTAACAGAGAATAGGAAGGGTTCTTTTCTCCCCTTTCAGATTTTTTAAAGTACAATGGAAACTAAATCAGGTAAATACATCTTTATGTTTTTTACTGCTGGCACATCTTACAGGAAGAACTAAAAAACATTGGCTCATGTTACAAGTGATCACAAGGCAGATTTGCCAGTAAAGCTGCTCTCTGAAGCTGAGCTAGTAAGACAATAATGAAGGTATTAGAAGTTCTCACCTAATTGTTCTGGTTTGCAAGGACAGCACTGAATGTTGTTTTCAGCCATCTCCTGGCAATAGCCCTTGTGCCCTCTAACAGCTGATAACTTGCTGTGTCCCCACTCCTGTTTGGATGGATTTTTATTTTGTCTCTTACTGGTGTTCTGGCTCTGTTCAGAGCCCTCAGACCTGGAAAGCACAGAAACCTACCCACTGACTCAGTCTCTTTTATTCTGTCATCTTCCTTCTAGGTCAACGTGATTTTGATTTAGCTGATGCTCTTGATCACCCAGGTAGGTAAATTTCTTATCCTTATTTTTCCATGACATTTAGACCCAATAATAAATCTTAAATCCTTTTCCTTGAGGACTAGAATATGAAGTAGCTAGTAAGGAAGTTAAAGATTTACAGAACTCAGACATGCTTGATTTCACTGTTCCTGTCATAAAAGAAAAAAATTATTTAAAACACAAAAAGGCTTTGAAACATGACCCCTCGTTTTTATTTTCTGTCATGATACATGAAGATTTATTGAGTACAGCTCTCTAGATTAGCAGATACCTTCTTTTGACAACTTGAAAAAGTTTAAGTTGTTATTGCTTACTGGTATGTCATTGTGTCCCACAGAGGACATAATTACCCGGAGGCCCACAGTGATCAGAAGACCAACAAGGCCTGTGCTGAGTGAGTACTAAAGACAATGGGTCATTACTGATTTTAGGTATATAGAAGCTGCCTCTCATGAGATTCTTGACCATATTTGCTAATGTTTCATGTGAATAATAACTGTCTTCTGCACATAAGGTAAGTGGGTTTTTGAAAACCAGTTACATGTCTTTATTTCTTCCAGTAAGGCTTTAGAGCATGACTAGCTACTGTTGGCATTTTTATTTCTGGAAGACCTTCTTCACACTTTTCCAGCCTGTATTGAACTCCCTGAGGAGTATAATTAAGGGTAACTATTGCTAAAAATGGGTAACTATAACCTACAGTAAAGCTGCCTCAGTCAGGTGAAAAGAATTTAATTTTCAGGCACTCTTAAGACTGCTGGAGATACGACAGTCAGATCATTACCTGCCCTACCTGAATCAATCTCACAAATTCTTGGGATCAAAGAACACCATGTTTTCCAGACCATTTTGGCATCTCTTTCAGCACTGAAGAGGATTGCAAGGAGTTTAAATGCAATTAAAACTAATTTAAAAAGCAGTTTTCAAAATCAGTTACTAGATTTGGAAGCATGAGCAGAGAGATGATACAAAAGTATGTCCTAGCATCTGCTTCAAGTTTCAGCTTAACCTCAGGGTTTCTTCTATGTCTCATTCAGCCAGTATTCTTGAGAAATGAGGCTGGCTGAGGTGACAATTTTGATTCAGTTGGGAACAATTACTGTACAGACCGTGTTCTCTTGGCATCACTTCCCACACAGAAACCTCTGCCTGCCTTGAAGTTCTCGTGTAGGTACCTCCCAACCACTGTAGCAAAATTTAACACAAAATGTAATGGAAGGGAAAGGTGACATTTATATACAAAGTCTCTAAAAAAGCTGATTTTACCACTGACAACCATCCTGCCATTGATTTAATTCAGCTGTGTGCTCAAACCCGCTTAATGAGAAGCACCAAGATGTGTGTGCTCAGGTGGCCTGGTGAGCATCATGTGCAACACGGGTCAAGGTATGCCAGCTACTGAGTCCTCATCCTGTCTCTGTGGTTCTTCTGGGTCAGAAATTACAAGCCAGTTTATGTACAGATCTTTTACACCCTTTAGGAGTCATCAGCTGTTATGGAGAGGTCCTTTGCCTCATCATCTTGCTTATTTCAGCAGCTCTGAACCCTAGGCCAGGTTGCTGCCCACTATCTGGTTTTGCTTGCTTGGGTTATACAAGCTATGTCTACAGCCTATTTTCTGAGTAAGCAAACAGGAAAAATAGTGGAATAAGTGATATGCTGCAACCTTTGACTTTAGAGAGCCCTTCTGCTTTCCTCTGCTGACAAGTCATCTGTGTTGTCATCGTACCGGAGTGCAGGCTTGCTGGTTTTGACAGAAACAACACATTCCTCAGTTTCATTGCTGATAATGGTAACCTTTCTTGTCTGTTCTTCTAACCATTTGCTGTGCTGTTTCTTCTGGTGACTACACACACACACACATTTCCATTTGTATTCTGTTCATATCGACCTTAGCAATTTTGAAACAAATCTCTGTATGATCCCTCCAGAGCGGAACCCTACCCTCTACCAGAATTTTTCCTCCCAAGAATAAATTCAATCTAGTTTGCAATTTATTGCTTCTTACAGTGTTAGCATTTGACAAGTAAACATATTTCTAAGTGCTGGCCAGATGCAGACAGAATCAACACTTGGCTTTGCCAAAAACTAACCAAGTTGAAGTAGTATGAATTTTATTATCTTCCTGCCAGATTTCTTGCTGACATCCAAGCATACCTGAGTTGTCACAAAAATGAGACTAGATACTCTACAAAAGCAGAACACATGAAGCCAGGCTTCTGCATGGTGATGCATTTGGTAGGATTTTTCTGGGTTGCAGGAATTCTGACACAATTCTTCTGAAAAAAAAATGAGTTTAATTGTCTATCTAACTTTCTGTGGCAATAAGCACTGATATCAAAACTTAGGTAGATATTGCTGTCCCTTCTGATTCATTCCAGCACTCCACGTTTGTAGAGAACAAGAAAGGGATCCTTGGAGTTATGATGTGCATCTAATGTATTTTTGCTGACTACTCTTTGAACTTTCAGAGCTTGCTGCCACTCCATACACGCCCTTCCATACCACCCACGTACTAATATTCACACATGTAGATTTGAAATGGAGTTCCTCTGGTTTATGTATCTTCAGCTCACTGACAGGTTGTTTATTGGAAGGGAAATTCCAGCCCAGGTACAGAGAGTCATGTACAGTGCTGGGGGAATGGTGATAGCCTGCACATACAGACATTTAGGTATAGTTTAAAATCTTCATGGCTCAGCCAAAGAAAAAGAGACTGTCACCCAACCTCAGACAGATGCATATGATTGTTGGAAGCAAAATGTCTTATGTCACCATGACCCTTACATAAATTAGTTGATTCAATTCGCTTTCCCTAAACAGTTTTACTACTTCCCAGTAGCTGGTCTTGAAAAGGCTATTCAGGTTTTCTAGTTCAACAAATTACACTTGAGCCAAACATGCTTAAATCAGTGTTAAGCACAGACATAAATGTTAATAAATAAATAAATAAATATTTTAAAAATACAGTTTAATAGCTTAACATAAATAATTTTAATTATGTACTTGCAAATACATTAAAGAAGTATTGATCTTGATTCCATTATGAGATTTAGTCTGAGCTTATTTCAAGCAGGAACAAAACTTTCTTATTTTGAGTTGAAAATACTGTGTATTTTATCAATTATTGTGTGGGAAAAATGCTAAATTCTGTAAGAATTTTCAAGAAAAGTGTAATACCTTATTTGAATTTGTGCAACTGGCCTGAAAAAGTTGCTTGTCAAACCTTCAGTTGTACATTTTCTATTAGAAATACCATCTTACTTCCCTCAATAATTGTGTGTAGCTCACTTCTCTGTCTTCCTCCTTTTTGTTTTCAGACAATGATCTGCATTTAGGAGATGCTCTTGGTGGGGGTGAGTATTCTCTTCTTTTCTTAAATACAATTATTGGGGGGTTTTGTAGTCTTTTTCTGAAGACTGCTTGATTTGTGAGGTGATGTTTCAAGACTGTAGGAAGAGCTGTACAAACGAAAGTCATTACAGCTCATGAAGCTGCAGCCTTTTTGCCAGAGGCCATGATTCAGAGGGTGGATAGCAGGCTGGGCTGTGCCTGATTGCCAGCTACAGGAGCTTGCAGGTTGGCCTGCCTGCCTGAATTAACTCAGCTTTGTTTACTTCACCATGTCATGGCTGGGGAGAGGATGTACTGCATGTTCAGCCGTGATGGTTCAGGTTCTGCCTCTGGCAGAAGGTTGAAGACAACAGGCAATGGCAGTAGTTTCTGCAGCTACTAAAAATGGGTCTGCCTAAGATTAGGAATCAGAGGTAACAGTGGATAGAGAGAGGTGTGAGTTTGTTGTAGCTCTGCTGATCCCAAATCAGAAATGCAGGAGGGAATGTTTCAGAGGTGAGCACTGATGGACAAGATACAGCTTAAGCTTGAAGCAATCAAGCTGTTGCAACCTGCTATGACTTCTGGTTGTTTCTGTAACACCCAGAACTGACCCAGGAAACATTCACTGTCCTGTGCTGAGCTCTGTAGGCACATGAAACCCTTGACTTTGGGAAATTTTGCAGCACATTTTGTTTAATGTGTTTAGAGGTATACGAAGAATGTGATTAACTCTAGAAAAGACACAGAAATTATCTAAAATGCAAGCAGTATCGAATCAAAGCCTAAAATACCACTTCAATCAAGGCTACAAAAAAGAAAAAAA